CATGCACACGCGTGTTCAACATTGCCCCCTTTCACAAAAAGAAAAAAGCCCCACAGCATTAGACACATTTTGAAGGTATGTCATTTATTCCAGCAAGCCTGTTTGAGAGTGTGTGAAAGATTCTTTGGCAAGTAATTATCAGCAGCTCCCAAAAGTGTGAAACAGGTACAGAAACTTCTATAGTGTCAGAGCTGTATGCCCCTTATTCACATGCACATTAACCTTTCAGCTTGAGGCTGCCTTTGGAAGCAGTTGCCATGGAGGTGAAACTGGAACACTGTATGATTAGTAGGTAACAAAGTCTTTGAAAAAGTTCAGGCTGTGTCTCTAATCCGGTCTGTACTGCGGTAGGGTGGGAACATGCATTTATGCTTTCCTATTGCTGAGGTAAATACCGTATCTGTCATCTCATACTGAACTTAAAAGACCAAAGTGTGCACCGCAGTGATATCCCCTCTGACAGTACTTGTTGTTTTCTTACTAAGAAAATACTTTTACTTTTTTGACTTTTTATTGAATGAATCCAAAAGTCTCGATGTTCTGCGTCATGGCATTAAGCAAGAGCCACAGTCCATCTGATATCAGTGTAAGATGCATTGAAGATATGACATCAGGACAAGCATTGTGCAACCAGTTATTTAGGGCGGCAAGGAAACATCAATCCTGGCTGTGCAGCTGAAATCGGAAAATGCAGAAAGTCAGCATGTTAGGCTAAATCAGATGGCTAGGATAGTGGTCAGTTAAGTTGAGATGGGAGTTCAGACCTGCTAGACCTCGTTTCCATGTCATCATGTTCACTTTGCTCATTGGTGAAGTGCATATGTAGCCAGTGTGAGGAAGCAGAAAGATCTTGAAAATTCGAATAGATGAATTGCACTCCTCTGTGATGTCAATGTCGGGCATCACGGGAAGAGATGTGCTAATTATGCTGAGAGATGGAAAGTAAGCAACACTGGCTTCCTCTCTCTAACCGAGTTTGACATATTTCATTTTCCAGTCTCTTAAACTACTATGTATTAATCACTCATCAAAAATATTCACTCAGAGCTTGTTCTTGACATGGACACACTACTTATTCATTTTATTTATTCATTTAATTATTGAATCATTCCTTTATGTCTATAACCCCTCCCACCCCCACCTGAAATATCACAAAAAGTATGAAACCATGTCCAAATTCTCAAGCTAATCTTAACAGGTGACTTTTCAATCAGACACTGAGGTAGAGTGCTCGCTCTGACGTTGTGCCAGACGCTTTGAGTCTGTACATTTCACTTGGACTCACTCACTTTGGTGAATAAAGGGCAGGCTAATGAAATCAAGTCCACTACTCACAGGAGCCATAAGATGTCTGCTTTTGTACCTGAGCTAATTATTCATCGAGGTTGTACTAAAGATTAGTGAGGATATATATGAAGAAGCAAATCCTTTAAATGGCTCTTTTATTGTTCCTTTACAATCCCCCAGCTCATTTTAGATATGGCACTCACAGGCACCCTTGTGAAATGACTCTAAGCCATTGTTCCTTGTGTTATCCTGGAGACACGAAAGGCTAGTTAGTGCTGCCTTTGATACAGATGCCCGGCACCGTTTTAGCATTTGTGTTATCAGGAAGACAGAGAATTACTGAGGCCGGGGTGGGAATAAAGCCACTTGTTCCTCCTGCTGTGTCTCTCTCTAGGAATAAGAAATAATAACGGACAAGGTTTGCGAGCTTATTGTGCTGAATTGTTCCACAGAAACTTTTCAAACAGGAAACATCTTAATACAGTTTGTATAGCTGCACATCAGGTTTCTGATGCAACAAAGTGCTGCTTGTGTTTCTCATAGAACAAGCAGAATATAATATACACCATATTAAGATTCTTGTGCTGCCACTAATGCTAGGAAGAAAAAAGAGAGAGCAACTTTAATGCTGACGCATGGTAAGCTGAATTTATAGTGAATGGAATGATTAAGTCTGCAAAATCCTTGAATCAGTGCGCTCTGGTTATAAACACAGCTGTGCAATCTCAAAGGCGCACAGTGAGGTGAGCCTGAGGAGCAATGGGTTGCTCTCTCTGAGCTGCTCGCCTGCTTTGTTGCCCCCTACAGGGCAGAAAACTGCCAGCCACGGACCTGCGCACGGAAACCTCCGCTTATTGCAGTTAATTGAGCAAAAAACAGCAGCGAGAGCTCCAGTGAAAGCCCGTTTGCAAGGCTTCGGGGGCAAACGAGTGCGCCTAAAGAAGCAGAATGCAGGAAGTTTAATCTATGTGAAACAATGAAACTTTGCTTTGAGTTCCTCTTTCTGGAAAGTTGCACAATTGAATAGACCACTGATGTTTTGACAAAACTAAGTGATGAAATGTCATTAGAGGAGTTCCTTTCAATGACTTCACAACCTCATTCATGAGGAAAACCTTTGCTGTCACTCCGCTCTCCGCTAAACAATCTGTTGATCTGGAAAAGTCTCGCTTCTCATGAATTATAAGTGAATAATAAAAATAAAGGGATGAAGAAATGAAGGGACTGTATTGTCCATGATTAGTCAACTTGATCTCCCTTGTCAGTGTTGCTTCTTACATCCCTAAGGTCTTTCACGACCAGCTCACAGCTTCTTTGATCACAGCAGCACAACTTCGTCGAGCCTCTATAAGCTTCCAGAAACTCTACAGGACCACACAGTGTCTATATTGTGTTAAAGCGACATTGCTATGTGGATTATAAGTTCATCATCAAGCTGGTTAACATTTTCAGGAACGAATAAATGAATGAATAAATAAATATATAATAATAATAATAATAATAATAATAATAATAATAATAATAATAATAAAACGCCTTTTTACATGATGGCTCACGTGCGCAGAGACGTTGTCGGTTCAGTATTTCACTTGTAATGTGACATCCCGAAGGGGCCAAGGAAGCCCACGGGCAGGTAGAGAAAGGCAGTTGAATGAAATCTGCATAAGCATTGCAGAGACTCACACACCGACACGCGCACGCCCGCGCGCTCCTCTCTCGTAAAGGGGCGTGTGTGTGTGGCTAGCAAGGGACTCAAACCCTCTGCATTTGCATCAGTGGAGGAGCCGAGAGCGGTGACGCACGGAGAGAGACGGACGGGAAACAAGTTGAATTAAACCAATAAGGACTTTTATTTTTATTCTGTAGATTTTTTTTAGCCTCTCTCACTGAAGAATTTTCAACACTGTTCCTCCACACGCTGGTCGTATTGCAGTTTGGACCGCGCGTGAATGAGAGCTAAACAGCCCGGGAGACCCAGAGACATCCGCGGCGAAGGGACCGTCTGTACGCGGAGAGGGGAGAGTGTCTCCGGGTGTCGGCTGTGCGCCTTTGCGCGGTTTGGATTGGACTGCGGTGCGATTCTTCCACGGCGTGTAGCCCAGGGAGGAGTTTTTTTTTCTTTTTTCGTGGGGGGAGGATACGTTGGCTTGCTTCTTTTGGAAGCTCGGGAGAAGATTTGGTGTCATTTTAATAGGATTTGAGGGAAGCCTATCGGATCCTACACTCCGCTCCACTCGTGTTGAAAGTGGAGAGGGGAGGGTTGGATGCCTGCAGGTTTGCGAGTCCTGAAGAAGCAGGTGAATGCAGCTTTTTTTTTTTTTTTTGTAAATGTATTTAACTTGTGTGAGAGACTGAAAGGAATCTTCTGCTTTGAGTCCACTTAATGTAATACAGTTTTTACACATTTGGCTGATATGACCATCTTATTATCTTACCGTCGATTTTATTGTTATTCATACACTGGCTTGCTTTCTTTTAATGCAGGAATTTAGAGTAGAGCATGCTGTGTTTACTGAGGTTCGTTCCTTTTTGTGCAGTGTGACCCAGTAAGGGCAGCCTTGAGTAACCGACTCGAGGCTACACCGTAATTTATGCTTTAATTGATTTCTTTTTAAATTTTCAGAGTGCCAGCTAAATGGTGTCACTGATGTGGGGTGGCTATTAAGAACAGTAGCGTTACATAGCTCCTGGTGGATAAAAGGCATGCAAATAAAATAATAATAATGAAATCAAGATAAAAGAAAGATGGAAACACTTTGTAGAGAGAAAAAATAGGCCCACGATAAGCACTTCGATGTAAATTGGCTTACATCTGAGCTCTGTTTTCTGTGTTTTTTAGGACTTGCACCCACAAAGGGGAACTTGGGATGAAAAGATCAGGTTTATCCGTTGGTTTATCACATAAAGGCATCGGTCCCACACACAAGCTAATGACCACATCCCGGGGAAATGCCCTCTACAATACAGCCTAAAATCCAGGCTTGAGTGGTAGCTTGTCCTCCAGGAGTAGCATCCTGCTGCTGCTGCTGTTGTTTATGGCGAGATCTCAGATAGTTGCGCGCGGGGGGTAGTGTTGTGTCGCTACGTTTTGCATTAATGTCAGACTGCTTGTTGTCACAGAGAGCGGAAGAGAGCGTGAGTGAGTAAAAGGGAGAGAGAGAGCAAGAGAGAGAGAGAGTAGTGTCACTTAACGGACCGCTGGTGCTCTGACACTCAGTGTGCCGCTCTCCTTACTTATAAAGACGCGACGCCTCTCAGACATAGGTTGGCTATTTGTAATCAAGCCAATCACCAACCTCTCCCATTCTCTACTCTAAGCCTATTGAAGCAAAGCGGGTCACAATTTGGGGGAAAGGGGTGTACCCGTGCCTTCGGAGTCTTAATTGTGTCAGATAAGGCGCTTTTAGACACTTTTGGGGAATGTCCAGTGCGCACGGAGGCGACACGCTTTCATAGTCTGCTCACCTCTCACGTTTGTGCTGTTTTGTTTTTTGTGCACTCCACAGCCAAGGATTACATCCTGCCCGGGCACCTTCTGAAGGGCCAAGGACGCAAAAGACAGGGTTGGAGTGGCTGATTCTTCGTCCGCCTTGCGCTCTGGCTTCTTTTGGAGAGGATATGGCAAGGTCGGCACAGGAGAGTGGAGAGCAGACGGCGCAGGCGAGAGGAAACCGGAGCTGAATGACAGGATGCCAGAGACCTGAGCCCGCACTCAGATCACTCCTAACTTCGTTAAGAGACACTTCAGCTTTATTTGTTGGACAGAGCGGAGAGAAGAATACTTTCCCTTGAGGAAAAAAACATCTTCTGGAGGAGTTTATTTTCAGAGGATTTTTGTTTTTGTTTTTTATATCTATATACACGTAATTTTATTTTTTTTTCCTGGTGATAAAACAAGGATGCATTGTGGATTAGTCTTTATCCTGTTTATGGGAATCCTCTCGGTGGCCAAGGCTTTCAAAAACGGTAAGTGTGACATCTGATCTCTCTATAAATACAGATTTTATGTACACTGCAAAGCTACTAATCCCGGTGTTTTTTCTAAAGATTAGCCCTCGCTGATCTCCGGGCAAACTCACAAGGCGCTCACCTGCTCATTCTACCAACGCCTAAAGAAAACCCCTCTGATATTATTTCCACACAGACTTAGTAAAGTGACTTTACTGACACTCATCTGTAGCCTTCGTTAAAACCGTTTTTACTGCTATATGATTTCACTTGTATTTATGGGATCTCTTTGATATTGCTGTTGTCCAGCGCGTTAGGGTTGTTACCTTGTTTCCGTTCAAATATTTTCTACCAAAAGGCCATTAAAATACTCCTGAATATTTGCTTTCTTTGCAGATATTTTTTAAAAAGACTTAATCCCAACAATTAAGCAGTTTTTAAACCAATTCAACTACTTTTTTTTAGGGCACCCGGGTTCTTGTGCTCCTGGTAAAGAATTTCTAAGTCAGGATGAAGTTCAAAAAGTCAGCCCAAACGCTCGGCTTGCACAACTTTCCCGGTTTCTATTCTCGGAGGTTCTGTTTCACTTCAGCTTTTATTTTCCGCTGTGAAAGACTTCGGAGGGGGAATGCGTTAGGAAAGCACACATGAGCTTTTATAACACAGAAATAAAAGCAAAAGGAACTTTGTTTTTTAACGAGGGGGTACTTTTATATGCAAGATTAAAGGAGAATGACTGCAAATAATAAAAATAAATAAACGGTAAATAATAAAAGGACGTCTTCTTGTTCGGTCCTTTGTGTTATATGGACCAGTCAGCAAAGGCTTATCATTTTCCCCTCGTAATGTGTGGCAGTGTAATTTAAGCGTGTGCATGTCACAGTATGAAATTAACGACTAAGTGAATTTCACTCGCTCGTTACTGATAATTTTCCATCACTGCGTTATTCTGCTGTTGACTAACCCTCACTGCAGAGTCGCAATCTGGTAAAAGATGATTATTTTTTTCCGCTCTACAGATAGATAAGCATGTTTGCAACATCTCGCAGAGCAGCGGTCTGGTTTTGTGGAACAACATTTTCGCTCCACGCTTACACCAAAACGTTATTTATAAGAAGAAGATGATTTGTCTACAGTGTGTTGTGTGTGAAAGAAATGGTCCTGTAAAGCTCGCTGTAGTAGTCCAAACTATTGTGTCTCTCTGAGCTGCCAGTGATGTATCACTCTCGTTTGTTTCCGTATCCTTTAAGAACTTTTCTTTTTCCTTTTCTCTCCCCTCCCCGCTCCAGATAAATGTGGAGGCAACATCAGAATCTCAACCGCCAACTACCTCACTTCGCCCGGATACCCCACGTCTTATCCCCCTTCTCAGAGATGCGTGTGGGTGATCTCGGCGCCTGGTCCTCACCAGCGGATCCTCATCAACTTCAATCCGCATTTTGATCTGGAGGACAGGGAGTGCAAGTACGTGCACCGCGCTTCTTCTCTATGAAAAACACATGTGCAAATACAAACGCTCGTTCATTCAGGCAGATTTTGTCCCCGGGGGCCCCAATTTGATCGAAAGATAGGGAATTAAAAAAAAAAAAACCAGTGAGACCTCTGCCAAAAACAGTAAATGTGTGCTTTCATTCTGTTGGCGGTGGAAGAAGCACCTACAGATTTATGTTTATTTATATTTGATGTACAGGCACTGTTACAGTGCTGTCTATAACGCCAGTCTGAATCCCACTCCTCCTCTCCTCTCATGTCTATTGCTCATGAAACTGCGCCATCTAGTGTCGGAGGTGGGTTCAGTGAAAACTGTGTTATTGTAATCCAGGTCTGGCACTACATAGGGGAGTAGGAATGTCTCGCTCCTGCCATTTGGTTTTGGAATGTCCTTGATTTTCATCTTTGTGGAGTGAAGTCACCAGCATTTAATACTGATTTGAACTGCTGTGCTTCTGCAGAAGACAGAGCGAGGGGAAGGGGGAAGTGGAGGGGATTGAAGAGGCCAAAACCTCAGCAGAGGCATTTAATTGCGGCTACTTTCTGCACTGCATGAAAAAAAGAGTGTCTATTAAAAGCGTCTGAGCAGTAAACCAGTGACTCGAAATCCAATTACTTTCTAAACAAAGAAAGAAAAAGAAGCGATTGCATTAAAAACAGCTTGTTTTAATTAGACAACCACTTTAATAAAGTCAGAACAAAGTGAAATTATCTGGCTGACATGGGATTTTTTAAAATTTACTTTCACTAGTGCCCCTCCACCTCACCCCAAACTTACTGAAAGCACTCTTTTAAGGTGGCGCTCTCAGCGACGGTTACTTACCGATCCTTATTTGACCTGTAAGCTGTGAGCTGTTGCATCCAGCAAAAAGGCTAAGCTGTTTTCAGATAGATAGTTTAAGCCGATGAAACCAGAGACAGACAGTAATGTGATGAGCCGGTGTCAGTGTGGGTGCCCTGAGGTGAGCCTTGCCTGGGCAGACTGCCTCAGTCTGATTGTGTGTGATGTGGTGTTTTGTGTGTATGTGTGTGTGTGTGTGTGTGCACGTGTGTCGGTGCCTCTGCCCTGTCTCTGTCTCAGCTGTTTGTTTACGCTGCAGGGCTCCAGAGAGTAGAGGGCTTTGCTGGATCCTGTTACTGTATCTGCGCTCCACCCAAAACCTGGACCCTACACTTTCTTTTGTGCTCCTTGAATTGGCCCCAGTGTATACGCTTGCAGGCTTCTTTTATTTATTTATTTATTTTAATCCCAGATTTAAATCCCACTTTAGCCTTTCTTTACTGCTGACAGGGGTTTAGTGCAGAGCGGGATGCTGGTGTCCTTTGGAGTGTGGGTGCTCCTTTGACACTTCTTTTGGGTTCGATTTCAGCACCAGGGAGGCCATTAAGCTGTCTGAGGTCCTTAGTTAGAAACTGAGAGTGAGGAAGGGACTGGAGTAGGAGTAGGGGCAGCAGTGACAATGCTTATGTTAATCAAATTAGTCAGGAATGAATTTCCTGTGTCTAAACACACGCAGCAAGGAGAATAGAGTTGCTGTGGGAGCAAGGAAGGTTGGTTTTTTTTTGAAAGGAGGGAGGACATTGAGCTTAGTGAGCCACTGATGTGTCATTTGCAAATTAGCACTGCTCTTTCATTTAGCAGCCACAAATTTGGTGGTTTCCAGTTAACCGGTCGCTCATACATTTGTCAGCAAATGAATGTTGTGCAGTGGGTGTCAGGAGCGCCTCGTTGCTGCTTCTGATTTTCTTTTGCTTCTCATTACGTTTGAAGAAGACTCAGTCTGCAGTGGTTAGGAGGCTATAACCTGCTTGTCCTGAGGAGAAAGAAAAAAATTAACAGATGACTTGAGTCATTCTCTGATTCATGTGGGCCTCACAGAGATTGCACCTGAAAATGGGGTCAGCCTAACCCACAGCTTTTTTCCTATTTTTAACCCGGTGTGCCGTTTCATTTTTAATGCTGTTAATGGAGTGGTTTTCATGGGACTTTGCTTCTACTTCGTAACATATTCTACACAGACACACACACACACACACACACACTCCACTCCACCCTCCTTAATTTCAAAACTATGGCACTGTGCAACGTGAAGGCTGATTGCTGGCCTAATAGCTGACATGGCAATGTACATGGGTAACTTGATTATAAGTGAGGGAACATAAGTGACTCATGTATCTGCAGACAGTAGTTGGGTTGGGTGCGATTTGTGTTGAGCCATCAGAGCCCCTCTTGGAGCCCCACTCACCAAGTCAACCCTTTACATAATGGAAACTGATGAGAGCCCAGAATGGCTTCCTTATCTGATGGACCTGCAGAGTGGGTGGAGGTGGAGGCGGTGGGGTTACAATGCATGCTTCAGTGCACTGCCTTGCAATCTAATTAGTGGGCAAATGGAACACACATGCACCACATGTTCTCCAACATGGGTCTTATCAGCAAACTAAACAAGAAGCACTCAAAGTGGTGCTCCTGGAAAAGAAAAGAAAAACAGCCTTCCCCGTGAGTGGAGCCTGGCTGCCGTGCTGCTGCTGCTGTTGTTGCACGTGCTCGCTCCCCTTGACAGGTTTGTTTGGGGAAGTGCAGGGGCCTGTATCCTGCAAGCTGGAGGAGGAAAACACTTCATCACGGAGATAAGGCGACTAAGTGAGCCCTGCGATTCTGAATGCAGAACGTGTTTACCTTTCACGCACCGTTGTAGACTTTCACAGAGTGGAGTTTTTCATGGGGGCGGGGGTTGGGGGGAGCTGGAGCCGCCCTCACTTGCCTCACGCAGCTAATGAAGTTTGAGGCAAAGGCGCAGCCCGCATCAAGGCAAATATTTGAAGTCAATTCGATCTGAAAGTCGTCGGAATGAGCGAGCTTAGCCGGAGTGAAAAGCTGGAGTAAACAGATATGCTTTCGCTCCGCGCACCTATTCTCTCTCTTTATTCACGGTTATCTGATAAGGCCTGTCAGGCTCACCTGGCTCCACTAGCTCTGTCGTGGGGAGGTATAAGTGGAGATGGATCTAAAGAAGCGATGGGAAGGTTTTATATTTGATTAACAGACTCGTGTCATCATCATCATCATTATTATTATTATTTTTGTGAGATTCAAGTAAATCTGGTGAATGTTTCTAGTTTTAAACTCATCTAAACCAAGACCTAGAAATATTTCATCTGAAGCTGGAGGCTGTTCTTTCCACCTCCTCCTCTTCCTCCTCCTCCTACTTTCTTGCTGAGTCGAGGAGGGGAGCCAACTTTCTCGAGATATGATGTACTCCTGACAACATTATGAATCATTGATAGCATTGGATTTGCTGACCAAACCAAAAAAAAGCAAGAAAACAAACCCCCTCCAAAAAAGCTCTTCTGTCTTCAGCTCACTGAGAGCTCCCTTGCAGTTTGTAAGCTAGTCGAAGTCGTGCTAGAACAGAGAGAGGCATAAAAACGAGAAGGAGACACAGCCTCCTCTTTCTTTGCCTTTCCCTGGCATTTTCCTGAGACCTGGGCAGGGTACTTTCCAACGTGCAGAGTAGCATGAGGAGGGGTTCAGATGACACGTATTACAGGATGGTACTAAGCGGAGGAGATATTCAAGGAATGCCTTCTCGAGCAGCTCTTTGTGCGTGAGATCGAAAACATCCCACCTCAACACAAAGTTCAAAAGTCATCGAGCTCCCCCTCAAATCTTCAGGTGCCTGTAAGCTTGGAAAAGTTTCCTTTTTTAATTATAATTTTCTCCTTTTTCTGTCCTTATGCCCCTTTGCTGCAGTCTCTTACTGAGTCCCCCCCAGCCCAGCCCACCCCTGACAACACACACACACACACACACACACACACACACACACACACACACACACACACACACACACACACACACACACACACAGAGCTGCTTGGCCTGCTGGGAAGACAAACATTCTCTGTTATGTCCCTTTTATAATAGGCATCCTACCCCTTGTGGCATGGAGACCAAGTCAGAGCTCCAGAGGTGACAGGAACTTGGGGAAGTGGGGGGTGGGGGTATTAACTGACCCTGTAACCATGGCTCTTTCTTTGTCATGTGGAATCCCACTAACTCCACTCAACATGGGCACAGTGTCCAACAAAGGTGACTGCCACCTGTTTCTAGGAAGTGAGAGTGGAGGACAGAAGGGGATTTAGGGACAAGATCCTCTTGGCCACTTTCCCTAATTCCCTTGTTACCATTCCAGCCTTAATAGCACACAGCAGCTACAGTATAAAGACCAGCAGAGCTTCACGGCTGGTGGTGGTGGGGGACAAGGGCTCCTCCCTTAATCTTAGCTGCTGCTTGCTTGTTTTGATTACCCACCTCACAATCACTCTGTAACTTATCTTGCAGCTGCAGGCGAGGCACAAAAAATGGATGTGGCATATGCCAAGGCACAAGCCTGCACAGAGGGCCACCACATGAGAGGAATGCTTCTATTTTCTATACAAGTTGTACTATGATTTCCTCATTAAAAAACAAACAAACATAACATTTACTAGATTCGTACTTAATTCTGATGCTCACATGAAAATGGATGGAAAAAATACAAAGTTATCATAGCACGAAAAATCAAATCTTATGAGATCCAAAACACACATGCATCGCTTTTCCCCGTGTGGTCTCTGGAAGAGGGCTGCAACACCTTGAAACAACCAGCCCTTGTGTTGGTGCTTGAGTGTCGCAGTCCCTGAAGCTGTTCTGCTGTTTTTCCAGCATTGTTGCTTTCATTTTCCCCTGAGCACCAGTGTCTTTTGTGCAGGGAAAGACTTCAGTTAAGCAAATACAAAAAGTTAGTTAAAAAAAACAACAACAAAACGCTGCTCTGACACTACAGCTCATACGTGCAACAAGTGTTGCTTATTCTTCTCAAAACTGGCTGTGCAAGGTAACTGCAGGCAAAGGACCACAGGTGGACTGTTTGTTTAGGAGCCGTCAGAGGAAAATAATTAAAACGGGAAAAAAAAACAGGAATGCAACA